CCCCCCCCTTCCCCCTCTCCCCCAAAACCCTCCATCTCATCTCATCTCCACCAACCCTCACCCCAACCTCCACCCCAATTCCCACCGCTCACCCCAATGCTCTACATCCAAAAATCCAGTACCAACACACCAAACAAAACAAAACCCAACACACCAAATCCACCAAATCCAAACAAAAAACTACAAATCCAGCAACCCCTACAGAACCGCGACTCAAATTTGCCAAAGAAGGTCCAAAATGGAGTCATACTCCAGATACACGATTTCTTATATGGTCAGAAGCACCTGTGTGGCACAAGCTTTTTTTCATCGGTGGTTTTGGAACATTGTTGATCCCGAGAGGTTGCTGTACGATCAAGTAAATTTGGAGAGCTGGAAAGATGGAAAGAGTGTCTGTATCGAGTCTGAGTAACCAGGGAGGTATTACTGACCCGGCGAACCCCCGCCTTAGGATCGTGCTTTTCAAAAGAGTGAAACATTTCCTTGGATGCGACCGACCACTGGAGAAAGTACAAAATATGAACGAAGGCGTCTGGATACTGTTCAAAGAGTTGCTGTAGATGCTACGAGCGGTTGCTTTTTGCCACGCGAAGCCCAGAATGGCAGAATGCCTGGGCTTTGGGTATTGTTATTTTGCAGCTTCAACGAGCTAATACAATTCGGAAGATCACGGTGCAAATTAGAACGATACTACCATGAGATTCATTTCATTTCGATAGCCATGTAATACCACCCCAGATTAAGTACAAACACCATCCATTACTGATCACCAAAACCCCATTCATTAACCATTACCAACGCCCTTCAATGCCGCTTATCATGATGCTTCATCTCAAAAATTCCGTCCAGAGACTCTTTACAATCCACACTGGCTCTTGTCAACCAGGGTGTATCCAGCATCGATACGTCCAAGATCAATTGCCCGGCCGCCAGTCAAAGTGCTCATAGCTCCCAAGGCAATGTTGAATCCCTCGCCGGCGTGGTCAACGATGAGAACGTTGACGGATCGACCCTCGTAGCTGAGTTGGTAGCATTCACCACAATTGGGAGAGTTCCAGCCAGCAACTGTGGATGCACCTCCGATGTTGGGGAAGTTGCGGAGAGAACCCTGGGTGGTGTAGCCCTTGGTGAGGAAGCCGTTGGAACCATCACTGCAGGACACTGAGGCGAGAGAGCGTCCGGCGTCGTCGTATGCGTTGTCTGGGTGGAAGAGTTAGTAGGAATCTTTTGGTTGGATAGTGTTTTTGAGGCGAAGCATCAGAAATGGATGAAGAGAAGTACTCACCATATGAGACTGTGATGGCGGATGCAGAAGCGATGAGAGCTGCAACAACGGAGAAAGTTGGGAATTGCATGTTGAAGATTGGAAGTGTTGATTGTGGTTTTGAAGAGATGAGATGGGAATGTTATTGCTTGAGCAAGTATGGAACTGGAGTTCTGATGATGTTTGAATGCGAAGAATGATGATGATGAAAGATGATGATGAGAAGAGATGGGAGAGGGGGAGAAGCAGTCCTTATAAGCTGCTTCTACCCCTCACAGCATCAGATGTTCCTGCCTTCACCATCTCACAATCAGGTGAATTGTCTGTTTTCTCGTATTCTCACAGGAAGTCACGACTCACGACGAGCTACGGAGGCAGAGCCCCAGTTGCTATTTCCGGATTGGGCTGCAAAGGGTGAAGCGCAGCGCACGGCACCTGCTGTAAGTACGAGCCTCCCCCACCATTCTCGTGCGCTTTGCTGGCAGACTGACGTCGAGAGGCTCTGGATTGGTAGAGATCTTCCGGGTTTTGTTGCTGAGTGAACGCGCCCAGGTTCATGATTCTCGTGATCGTGCTGATCTTGTTCTTCAATACGAGTTTGTATGCAAGAACTCCGCTCCGACGGTGGAGTTGATCTCGCTAGACTGTATTTCCGTCGGCCAACTCATCTGACAGTAAATCTACGTGAGGAAGTGCTGAGTCGAAGACCGCAACACTTTTCGTTGTGACACTGTGAGATTCTACTCTGTCGAGTCTGTCCGAAGAGCTTCAGTATTCTCTTTGCATGGACATCGTATTCCCTGGGAAATTCACCTTGGAACCTTGGTTGAAGGTTGATATTGAGATGAGATGTCCCCAGATCCCAGATCCAACGCCCAGCCCGCGCCGCGCCTTCCCGCTTTTCCCGCCTTGGTACCGTACCGTATAGTAATGTGGAGCAGCAGCCAACGGGTGGCGGTGGCAGTGGCTGGGCTCAGCACCAACAGATGGAGGGAGTAATCGGTTAGGTGGCTTTAGCCACGCTGATTTGGTCACATATGCGCTAGAGTAGTTTTAAGATCCGACAGTTAGACTCTTTGATCTATACCTTATTCCTACTTTATAATTCCTAATTTATTTAGTAGAGTAGCTAGTGAAACCTACCTTATTCGAATACTAAGGCTTCTATTAAAGCTATTTACGGATTTAACTATATTATTTTATTAGTATTACTTAAATCCTTATCTTTCGACCTCTTACTACACGTCTTTAACCTTAGAGTCGAGCGTTCTAGTAGCCTTAGATACTGTCTATTCCACTACCTATTAATGTTATTATATTATATTAAAAGAACGATCTCTAGACCTTCTCTAGATATCCTACGATTAATTCCGGAAGCCTTAAGTTAAAACCTTATCTTTTCAATACTAAAAATCCCCTTATTTTAGACTACGAGGCCTTATACTATAGTCTACCCTTAGAGTTTTAGATTCCGGACTTTTCTACTAAGGAAGGTACTACTACCTACTTAGTAACGTTAAAGTATAATACTAGATGTAACGAATACACAAACTGGCTAACTAAACTTGGCTGGGTGTTCGCTGGTTGGTATGCTATGATAAGAAGAAGACTATCGGGTTGTTCACTTGGAAGTGAACTCGTTACTTGTATCAAAGATGTCAAACTGATATGATAAGATTGATAACTAAGTTGAGCACGAAGCTCCTATCTAATGGCAGAAGTGCCAGTCTTATATAGAACCTTCGTTCTCGTGGAGCCTACGGGGAGCCCAAGATCCTCAAGCTCCAACGCAAGCTCCTGCAAGCTCCAACGATCATGTGACCCTGTCACGTGATACTAACCGAATGAAATCCCTGGATCGCTTAGCTAGCCCAAGCGTCCCTATTTGCTATAAGAGTACTGATAGTGCTTGACCTTTCAGGACGCCGCCTGGTCTTCTCTTATCACGTGAACACGTGATTCGTGACACTAGAACCCTAAACCTCTTAAAACTAATACTATATAATACGGTTACGTATCCGGACGCTACTCGTCTAGAAGATATATATTATCTAAGCTAGCTTTATTATTATAACCTTAGACCTTATTATTATTATTATTATTATTATCTTCTTCTAAATCGGAAAACTTATCGCTATCTATAGGCTACCTTATAGCTAGACTAAGAGATAAACTAGAGACTACTCTTCCGATACTACTAAGCTACCTTTATATACCTATAGTAGTACTATACTTTACTCCTGACCTAGGACCGGAATCGCTATTAATACCTTTAACCCTTAACTTAGAGCTCTAGTATACTTTTTCGACCGCTTTAATAACTACTTATTAAGCGGAATTCCTAAATATTACATCTCCGACCTTCCTTAACCTACGGCCCCTAGGCTACCTATATATAAGATATATAGAAAGTTTAAGGGTAATAATAGCGCTATACGCTAGCTTACTACATTATAGTATAACTTTAAAGCTATAAACTATTCTAATCTAACTCCGGAGATATTCTTTAAAGCTATTAATATCCTACTTAATAGTCCTGTAGTTATATAGCTAGATTCTAAACCTAAGTTTAGAGCTATTATTAATAAAAAAGAGACCGCTACTAAGGAGTAGGTTATACTATTTAAATAAGCCTTTAAAGCCGAATACCTAACTACAGTCTTCAATATTACTAAGACTAACGTCTAGTATAATATTAAGAACTTGTCCTAGGATAAAGATAAGTTCTTGTTAGTAATCCTTAGCTTATTGTAACGAATACTCAAACTGGCTAACTAAACTTGGCTGGGTGTTCGCTGGTTGGTATGCTATGATAAGAAGAAGACTATCGGGTTGTTCACTTGGAAGTGAACTCGTTACTTGTATCAAAGATGTCAAACTAATATGATAAGATTGATAACTAAGTTGAGCACGAAGCTCCTATCTAATGGCAGAAGTGCCAGTCTTATATAGAACCTTCTTGCTCGTTGATCATTATGATCACCCTGATCCCACTGATCCAGCTCAGCGTTGCTCAGTTGATC